GGGGCAAACGTGATCAGAAGGATGGGGGCTGTCCATAAGTGACGTCATGCACCTAGAGGAGGGGGGGGGGGGGCAGACATTTGTGACAATGTGTGACAAGGGGGGAGGGGGGGGTTTGAGAAATGTGACGTCACATCAAAATGCGCAACTTTAAATGAATATAGGCAACGCGTTCTACTTGATTAAATAGGCTTTTTAATAAATGTTTTCTCCTACAACATCAGAGTGCAGCGCCACATTAAACACGCACTACAATGACAATAGTTTACAGCGATTTGAAACATGTTTTATTTTTTTTGGGGGGGAGGGGGGGCAAAGCTTTGTGACGTCATATTTGAGGGGGGGGTCTGACTTTTTGTGACGCCGTGTGACGAGGGGGGGGAGGTCCAAAATCGTCCAAAATCGCGTGACGTCATTTATGGACGACCCCAAAGACACCGCAGGGTGGCCCAAAAGTCTGGACACACAGGGGGCTGTATCACGGGGTCTCATCTGAGGGTTAATGCAACACTTGATTCCTTAAAAAAGGTTTTTGTTTGTTCTTTGAACATCGTAACACAACGCCTCTTTCATTCTCAGAAAGGGCGAAACCCTATTCTTAGTTTTCATACATAGGGGACTATGACATTTATCTAAATATAAATTTATTTTAACTCGAAACCGTTCGAGCGAACGACCGTTAAACATGCATGCGTCATGTGCGCATTGTTTCAAAATGAATCTAAGACTTATAAAAAATGAAGGAATTATAGGTGTGTGTAATCTCTGGACATTCATCAAGCGTATGGTTCTTGGTTGAGTAATGTAAACGACGCATTTTTAGGTAACGAAGAAGAATAAGATCATACATTTTTATTTAAAGCTTTCGTGGCTGCAGGGATTCATATTCTTGGTTCTTTCGGTAAAGTCATCACGTAGAAGGGAAATAATAAAATAATGAAAACATTAAACAATAAAACATTCTCACGACGTTTCGACTGCAACACAAGCAATCATCATCAGGTGTGAAATCCACAGAAAGAACATTTGAAAAAAAATTATTGCCGTGGATTTTAAAATTTGAAGAAAAAAAATCTTGCTGTGGATTTCACACCTGATTGCTTGTGTTGCAGTCGAAACGTCGTGAGAATTTTTTTTGTTTTATATTTTTATTATTTTATTATTTCCCTTCTACGTGACTTTACCGAAAGAACCAACAATAAGAGGATCATACATAAAGCATGGACAATTAAACATGTTTAATACCAGTGTTATAATACATTAAATAACCCTATGTGTCCTGACTTTTGGGCCACCCTGCAATTCTTTTGTACATTTGCCTACCTCGCCGCCATGCCCTTAGTTAACATTGCCGGGCATGAGATACACGAGATCCGGGCAATTATTGTGGCCGTTTCATTATAGAGACTTTATTTTATAATTCTGTAACGTTTGGAGGAGAATCTCTGGCACTCGCTGTGCATTTGGGTAAGCTTCTCTATTGATGGTCTTCCCCTGGCTATCAATGACTGCAAACACACACAAAATATCATCATCATGGGAACTTCTTTGCCAGTACCAAAATATGCTAATAGGGTTTTTCCCCTTTTTTCTGGCAACAAAACTGACACCTTTTGCAAGGAATCATGCTTACATTAACCACAATACTTGCAGTCAAATGCAAACAAAAACACCATATGAGACTAGGCTCTAAAGAAAGCTGTCTCTGGTGTGGACCAATCAGTTTCAAGGACAATGCATAAATTATCAGAGTATTGTTTTTTTTTTGCATTTGACTGCAAGTATTGTGGTTAATGTAAGCATGATTTTAGATTTGAAGCTTTCGTGACTGCAAGGATTCATACTCTTAGTTCTTTCGGTAAAGTCACGTAGGTAAAAAATGAAATAAAAATTAAAATAAAACAATAAAAATCACGACGTTTCGGAGGCAACACAAGCTTCATGTATCAAGCACCACGTGATACAGTAATTGTGCAGTGACGGTGCCACCTGAAGACGGAAGCTTGTGTTGCATCCGAAACGTCGTGATTTTTATTGGTTGCTTTTTATTAATTTTAATTTCATTTTTTACCTACGTGACTTTACCGAAAGAACTAAGAGTATAAACATGATTCCTTGCAAAAGGTGTCAGTTTTGTTGCCAGACAAAATGGGAAAAGCCCCTATTAGTACACGCAAAATCATCATTTGGTTCGATGCTATCACGTTGCCAAATTCCATCCGTGACAATTGGACGCATCGGTTTGACTGCCGTGCGTTCGACCGTGCTCTCATGTGGCGGAGTGGGGTGGCCTAGTGCTGGCCCCTTACTGCAGAAGACCAGAAGTCACCGCTGGATGCGATCTCAAGGGGCAGTTCTGCGATTGACCGCTTCTGTGAAGCGTTCTCTTATATACGCGGGGAGCGTTGGGGGGCGGGGGGGGGGGAGGTCGCAACTGCTGTGCTCGAGTTTCAAGTGAACACTCCGTCCCCGTGAAACGGGAGCCATTATTATCTCGATCGATCGGGGATTAAGATAACATTAAAAGACGATAGTCTCATATAAGTGTTAACATTTTTTTGAAGCACCCTGCATTATGGATGATATCGGTCGCGAAAGCCAACAAAAATTTAAAGGTGCATTTAAAAAAATGTTTATACTTCTACTGATGCTCCTGCTATTGTGGAGTGACTCATGCAGCCAGCTATGGCTGCAGAGTTTTGGTGGTACATGTTGTTTATTTGTGAAATTTCGGTCACAGTTCCTATGATCACTGTTGCATTGCTTTCATGGCTTTATTTTGGTGATTTCGAAAAGTTTATTGGTTTGGCCATGTCTGTTTGTTGTAGTACGGAGTTAGAATGGTGGCTTTAATCTATGTTGTCTTGTGGTTGTTGTTGTTGTTGTTTGACTTGCATCCCACTGGGATTTTTGCACACAGCATTGGTGTAACGGTGCTTCTTTTCTGGAAGACTTTGCAGTTTTTTCCTGGACTTTTCTGTTCGCACATAGTCACTTTAAGATGTTTTTCTTGTTCATGTTTGTTGCGGTTGCACCCGATTCAAGAGCCGAATGGCTCACAGGGCTCTACCAAATAAATGAAACTGAAACTACGCATTAAACCGGCAAGAAATCTTGGGAGTAAAACCCGTGATTGACCCCAACGCTCGCAACCAGCCGCCGATCTGCCATCCGCTGCGAATTTACATCGTGGCAAAGTGCCTCTCTCTCTCTTTCTCCGAAATCGTAATTGTATTAAATTCCATTATCCATGAAATATTTAGCTCTTATCAATATCAAGATACACACAGGCTGCTTTAATTATTCATGCAGCGGTTTAAAAATAGAAGTGAAAGTCAAAGTCAACTGTGTCTCGGAAAATCGAACGAGCATTTACACGCTTGCGATAGTTTCCAGTATTGGAAATTACACGTTCCTATGGCCGTGAACAGTGAGGCTCTCTAAATAGTAAACTAGCTGTGACCGGCGGCTACGCAATGCAACACCGGGGTAGTGAATTATAATTTTAGTCGCGACTTCCACAAATAACCCCCCTAACTTAGGTAGTACGTGTTGTGTGAGTACGTGCTGTGTAGGTATGTGCTGTGTGGGTACGTGTTGTGTAGGTACGTGCTGTGTATCTGGATAGGTACCTGTTGTGTGAGTACGTGTGGTGTAGGTACGTGTTGTGTATCTGGATAGGTATGTGTTGTGTGGGTACGTGTTGTGTAGGTATGTGTTGTGTGTCTAGATAGGTACGTGTTGTGTGGGTACGTGTGGTGTAGGTACGTGTCGTGTAGGTACGTGTTGTGTGTCTATATAGGTACGTGTTGTGTGGGTACGTGTGGTGTAGGTACGTGTTGTGTGTACGTGTTGTGTGGGTACGTGTGGTGTAGGTACATGTTGTGTGGGTGCGTGCTGTGTGGGTACGTGTGGTGTAGGTACGTGTTGTGTGTCTAGATAGGTACGTGCTGTGTGGGTACGTGCTGTGCGTCTACGAGTGATGGGTTGTGCGTGGTGGAGTGGAGGCTGAGCGGTTAGCGCACACTGTGCTACGAAACCCGGCGATCCGAATTCAACTCCCGCCCCACGGTCAATATCAGTGGTGAATGCATCAAGCAGTTCTGAGCCCTCCCCTAGGTCGACTCGGCCTTAAATGAGTACTTGGCGCGGTGTGTACACATCAGCACTGGGAAGACAAAGGGGGCCGGGAGTGGTTCTGGCCACCCACCCCCTCGTGTGCCACCGTGCCGGCCTTCATAGGTGCTACTCGCTAACAGCACTTGCCCCAACAGTCTGTTAGAGGCTACGCTGGGGGGGGGATCTTTGTCTTTGTTGGCACGTGTGTGTCTGTACACGTGTGAGTGTGTGTGTGTACATGCGTGTGTGTACACGTGTGCACATGTGTATGAGCTCAGTGTTTGCGTGTGTGTGTGTTCACACGTGTGAGTGTGTGTACACGTGTGCACATGTGCACGAGCTCAGCGCGCGCGCGTGTGTGTGCGTGTGTACACGTGTGCGCGTGTGTGTGTACACCTGTGAGTGTGTGTGTACATGCGTGCGTGGGTGTACACGTGTGAACATGTGTATGAGCTTAGCACTTGCGTGTGTGTGTGTACACGTGTGAGTGTGTGTGTACACGTGTGAGTGTGTGTACACGTGTGAACATGTGTATGAGCTCAGCGCTTGCGTGTGTGTGTGTACACGTGTGAGTGTGTGTGTACACGTGCGCACATGTGTATGAGCTCAGCGCTGGCGTGTGTGCACGTGTGAGTGTGTACATGCGTGCGCGTGTGTGCACGAGCTCAGCGCGCGCGCGTGCGCGTGAACGCGCGCGCGCTCGTGCGCGTGCTCAGCAGCGCACATGATGCGAACGCTCGCGGGAAACCAATCGATGTGAGCGCCTGCTGCTGCTGCTGCTGCCCGTGGCTCCACTTCCTGCCCCTCTTCAGCGGAGACAGCGTAGGGGAGGAGGAGGGGAGGGAGACTGAGCCGGATAATCAGCCGCGCATCGCCACACTCCCCTCCCGTTCACAAGCGGCGGAGCGCAAGGGGGTCGGTCTGCGTGGACCATGCGAGTGGGATGTGCGTCAAGAGAGAGAGAGGGGAGAGCCGATTGCCGTGACGCGCCCCACGGTAAGAAATCGGCGTTGAGATCGTCGCTTTGCGCCCACCCTCCGTGCGTCTCGCCGTCGTTCGGGGGAGACTTCCCAGGCGCCGGTGGGAATTATTTGGGAAGCCTTTTTTCTTTGAGTCGTCTCACGGTGGCTGCCACGGTGGGGGGGGGGGGGGTAGGAGTGGGGGGATTGACCGGGTCGGCGTGGCGGTCGGCAACACCGAGAGTTGAAATCCGGCGGATCGGTCCTCCCGCCATCGTTAGATGGGTTACACCGCAGCGAAGTTCATCGGCAGGTCGCGTGCGGTGGTGGTGGCGGTGGTGGCGGTGGTGGAGGCGGTGGCGGTAGTGGTGGTGGTGGCGGTGGTGGTGGTGGCGGTGGTGGTGGTGGAGGCGGTGGTGGTGGTGGTGGCGGTGGTGGTTGTGGAAGACACCACGCCTGTTGCCGCCGATGATTCCAAAGCGTCTGGACACAAAACTAACAAAAGGTAGGAGACCTCTCGGGGGGCGGGGGCGGGGGGAGGGGCTCTTCCACAGCAGCTGTAGCAGCGGCGGCATGAGCATGGAATTTCAGGGGCTGCGCCTTTATCCAGCCGTGCGGGCGACTATTGTTGTACACATGTCGTCCGCGTACACTTCGCGTTCAAGGCGAAGCACTCACCGGCACACTTCGCTTTCGCCGCCCATTAGTACCAAGTCGACTACCTCGCTTTGCGCGAAACGGCGAGGGGCAGGGCGAGAGAATCTGCGCGCGCGAGACGCGAGCTCGCTGTTACCGGCATTGTCTTTGAGGAGCATTGTTTAACCGGCATTGTTTAACCGGCATTGTCTAACCAGCATTGTTTAACCAGCACCGTCTAACTAGCATTGTTTAACCAGCATTGTTTAAGCAGCATTGTCTAACCAGCATTGTTTAACCAGCATTGTTTAACCAGCATTGTTTAACTAGCATTGTTTTTACCGGCATTGGTTAACCAGCATTGTTTAACCAGCATTGTTTAACTAGCATTGTTTAACAGGCATTGTTTAACCAGCATTGTTTAACTAGCATTGTTTAACCAGCATTGTTTAACCAGCACCGTCTAACTAGCATTGTTTAACCAGCATTGTTTAACCCGCATTGTCTAACCAGCATTGTTTAACCGGCATTGTTTAACCGGCATTGTCTACCCAGCATTGTTTAACCAGCATTGCTTAACCAGCATTGTTTAACCAGCATTATTTAACCGGCATTGTTTAAGCAGCATTGTCTAACCAGCATTGTTTAACCGGCACTGTTTAACCAGCATTGTTTAACCAGCATTGTCTAACCAGCATTGTTTAACCAGCATTGTTTAACCAGCATTGTCTAACCAGCATTGTTTAACCAGCACCGTCTAACTAGCATTGTTTAACCAGCATTGTTTAACCAGCATTGTCTAACCAGCATTGTTTAACCAGCACCATCTAACTAGCATTGTTTAACCAGCATTGTTTAACCAGCATTGTTTAACCAGCATTGTTTAACCAGCATTGTCTAACCAGCATTGTTTAACCAGCACCGTCTAACTAGCATTGTTTAACCAGCATTGTTGAACCAGCATTGTTTAACCAGCATTGTTTAACCGGCATTGTCTAACCAGCATTGTTTAACCAGCATTGCTTAACCAGCATTGTTTAACCAGCATTGTTTAACCAGCATTGTTTAACCAGCATTGTTTAACCAGCATTGTTTAACCAGCATTGTTTAACCAGCATTGTCTAACCAGCATTGTTTAACCAGCATTGTTTAACCAGCATTGTTTAACCAGCATTGTTTAACCAGCATTGTTTAACCAGCATCGTTTAACCGGCATTGTCTAACCAGCATTGTTTAACCAGCATTGCTTAACCAGCATTGTTTAACCAGCATTGTTTAACCGGCATTGTTTAAGCAGCATTGTCTAACCAGCATTGTTTAACCGGCATTGTTTAACCAGCATTGTTTAACCAGCATTGTCTAACCAGCATTGTTTAACCAGCATTGTTTAACTAGCATTGTTTAACCAGCACCGTCTAACTAGCATTGTTTAACCAGCATTGTTTAACCAGCATTGTTTAAGCAGCATTGTCTAACCAGCATTGTCTAACCAGCATTGTTTAACCAGCATTGTTTAACCAGCATTGTTTAACTAGCATTGTTTTTACCGGCATTGTTTAACCAGCATTGTTTAACCAGCATTGTTTAACTAGCATTGTTTAACCGGCATTGTTTAACCAGCATTGTTTAACTAGCATTGTTTAACCAGCATTGTTTAACCAGCACCGTCTAACTAGCATTGTTTAACCAGCATTGTTTAACCCGCATTGTCTAACCAGCATTGTTTAACCGGCATTGTTTAACCGGCATTGTCTACCCAGCATTGTTTAACCAGCATTGCTTAACCAGCATTGTTTAACCAGCATTGTTTAACCGGCATTGTTTAAGCAGCATTGTCTAACCAGCATTGTTTAACCGGCACTGTTTAACCAGCATTGTTTAACCAGCATTGTTTAACCAGCATTGTTTAACCAGCATTGTCTAACCAGCATTGTTTAACCAGCACCGTCTAACTAGCATTGTTTAACCAGCATTGTTTAACCAGCATTGTCTAACCAGCATTGTTTAACCAGCACCATCTGACTAGCATTGTTTAACCAGCATTGTTTAACCAGCATTGTTTAACCAGCATTGTTTAACCAGCATTGTCTAACCAGCATTGTTTAACCAGCACCGTCTAACTAGCATTGTTTAACCAGCATTGTTTAACCAGCATTGTTTAACAAGCATTGTTTAACCGGCATTGTCTAACCAGCATTGTTTAACCAGCATTGCTTAACCAGCATTGTTTAACCAGCATTGTTTAACCGGCATTGTCTAACCAGCATTGTTTAACCAGCATTGTTTAACCAGCATTGTCTAACCAGCATTGTTTAACCAGCATTGTTTAACCAGCATTGTTTAACCAGCATTGTTTAACCAGCATCGTTTAACCGGCATTGTCTAACCAGCATTGTTTAACCAGCATTGCTTAACCAGCATTGTTTAACCAGCATTGTTTAACCGGCATTGTTTAAGCAGCATTGTCTAACCAGCATTGTTTAACCGGCATTGTTTAACCAGCATTGTTTAACCAGCATTGTCTAACCAGCATTGTTTAACCAGCATTGTTTAACTAGCATTGTTTAACCAGCATTGTTTAACCAGCATTGTTTAACCAGCATTGTTTAACTAGCATTGTTTAACCAGCATTGTTTAACCGGCATTGTTTAACCAGCATTGTTTAACCAGCATTGTTTAACTAGCATTGTTTAACCAGCATTGTTTAACCAGCATTGTCTAACCGGCATTGTTTAACCAGCACCGTCTAACCAGCATTGTTTAACCAGCACCGTCTAACTAGCATTGTTTAACCAGCATTGTTTAACCAGCATTGTTTAACCAGCATTGTTTAACCAGCATTGTTTAACCAGCATCGTTTAACCGGCATTGTCTAACCAGCATTGTTTAACCAGCATTGCTTAACCAGCATTGTTTAACCAGCATTGTTTAACCGGCATTGTTTAAGCAGCATTGTCTAACCAGCATTGTTTAACCGGCATTGTTTAACCAGCATTGTTTAACCAGCATTGTCTAACCAGCATTGTTTAACCAGCATTGTTTAACTAGCATTGTTTAACCGGCATTGTTTAACCAGCATTGTTTAACTAGCATTGTTTAACCAGCATTGTTTAACCGGCATTGTTTAACCAGCATTGTTTAACCAGCATTGTTTAACTAGCATTGTTTAACCAGCATTGTTTAACCAGCATTGTCTAACCGGCATTGTTTAACCAGCACCGTCTAACCAGCATTGTTTAACCAGCACCGTCTAACTAGCATTGTTTAACCAGCATTGTTTAACCAGCATTGTTTAACCGGCATTGTCTAACCGGCATTGTTTAACCGGCATTGTTTAACCAGCACCGTCTAACTAGCATTGTTTAACCAGCATTGTTTAACCAGCATTGTTTAACCGGCATTGTCTAACCGGCATTGTTTAACCGGCATTGTTTAACCGGCATTGTTTAACCAGCATTGTTTAACCGGCATTATTTAACCGGGATTGTTTAACCAGTATTGTTTAATCAGCATTGTCTCACCAGCATTATTTAACCAGCATTGTTTAACCAGCATTGTCTAACCGGCATTGTTTAACCGGCATTGTTTAACCGGCATTGTTTAACCAGCATTGTTTAACCAGCATTGTTTAATCAGCACTGTTTAAGCAGCATTGTCTAACCAGCATTGTTTAACCAGCATTGTTTATATTCTTAGGTTTTTTCGGTAAAGTCACGTAGTAAAAAATAAGTAAATAAAAAAATAGAAATAATAGAAATAAAATAAGAAATCACGACGTTTCTATGAATCCTTGCAGTCACGAAAACTTCAAATCTAGAATCAGCATTGTTAAACCAGCATTGTTTAACCAGCATTGTTTAACCAGCATTGTTTAACCAGCATTGTTTAACGACCATTTGTTTAAACAGCATTTTCTAACCAGCATTGTTTACTATCATTGTTTAACCAGCATTGTCTAACCAGCATTGTTTAACTATCATTGTTTAACAAGCATTGTTTAACCACCATTGTTTAACCACCATTGTTTAATCAGCATTGTCGAACCAGCATTGTTTAACTATCATTGTTTAACAAGCATTGTTTAACCAGCATTGTTTAACTATCATTGTTTAATCAGCATTGTCGAACCAGCATTGTTTAACCACCATTGTTTAATCAGCATTGTCGAACCAGCATTGTCTAACCAGCATTGTTTAACCAGCATTGTTTAACCACCATTGTTTTTAACCGGCATTGTTTAACTATCATTGTTTAACCAGCATTTTTTAACCAGCATTGTTTAACCAGCATTGTTTAACCAGCATTGTTAAACCACCATTGTCTAACCAGCATTGTCTAACCATCATTGTTTAACTATCATTGTCTAAACATCATTGTCTAACCAGAATTGGTTTACTATCA